GACTGGACTACATCGACGCCTAGTTTAAAAATAGGAAGTGAAGTGGTAGAGCACGTTGACCGCTTCACTTATTTGGGAAGTACCATCAGCCCCAACGGGCTGATCTCTGACGAAATCTCAGCACGAATACAAGGGGCTCGTTTCGCATTTGTTAGTTTACGCCGACTCTGGCGTAGACGAGATGTTCGACTATCGACCAAAGGGCGGGTGTACTGCTCATCAGTCCGCTCCGTCCTCCTTTATGGTTGTGAGACCTGGCCACTGAGAGTGGAAGACATGAAAAGACTAGCTGTCTTTGATCATAGGTGCCTGCGTTCTATTTCCCGTGTAAAGTGGCATAATAAGGTGAGCAACATGGAGGTTAGGCGTAGAGTTCTAGGTAAACAGGGGAAATCAATCGACGAAGTCGTGAAGCTACAAAGACTGAGATGGTTAGGACATGTGTTACGTATGCCAAGCCATCGCCTCCCTCGACGAGCAATGTTAGCGGATATAGGGTCAGGCTGGAAAAAAGCTAGCGGCGGTCAAACAAAAACTTGGCATCAGTCAATGAAATCCACAACAGTTGGTCTAAGCCACGTAGGAAGGTGTAGACTTCCAGGCTGGGGTCCTCGGGACGGTAAAAATCTATGGTTGGAAACAATTGGTGACATGGCTCAAAATCGTTCTCAGTGGCGCAGATGCATCCACTCCCTGTGACTTATGATCTCCAATGAAACTGTTTTGTTTTTCTTTATTACTCCTTTGTCTCACACCTCTGCTCACTGTTTCTATTATGCTTTTCTTGTACTTTCTTCTCTTGCTTCGCGTGCTACACGGAATGTGGCGACTTGAACTTCCGCACATTTGTGCAAAGTTCTATGTCGAAAACAGACAGACAGTCATAGGTGTTGTGTTCTACTAGCAAATTTACTATTGCTTGTATCACTTGCTTTCGATGTGCGTCGGTGGCGCAGTGGTTAGGATTCTCGCCGACCATGCACATGGTCCGAGGTTCGATCTCCTGCCAACGCACACCTGATATCTATGGTCGGCCTGCAAAATTTGGGCTACCGATATCCATGCTGAAAATTCCATACTTGTATCAAAAATACAGTGTGGAATCAAGCTGTAATCAAAACGAAAATATTGCTTGTATCACTTGCTTTCAATGGTTCTGTGATGAGAAACAGAATTCTGGTATCCCCAATTTTTTGTGGACTAGTGAATCTATTGTCTGGATAATTTTTATTTGATAAAACTTGTAAGACTTACTAATTTTGTCCTATACGATTCGATATAACACACTGTGATACACTATTAATAGGTGTATATTATTCCGAGCATTATTTATTCTGGAGATTTCATCATGGGCTTATAAAATGTGAAATTCTCTACCACACTGCTCATATTCTTTTCTTACTTAAGTAGTTTCTTTTCTGACATAGTTAATGTGAAAATTAATGAAAGATTTGCTTGCAATCGTGTATCCACTTCGATATTTGTTGCCTGGAGTCCTCTGACTGCCTACGAAGAATTTTGCATACTGACTGGCAGTTTCAGTGTGCATCTGTGAAACGTACGCGACTGAATGTAGTGAATAGGAAATTGTTATAGGAAATACGAACTTAACATTGTCTGATTCAGGTGTATCACTTTATAGAGTGAAGATCAGATATTGAATGAAGATAAAATTCTTTATCATCTACGTTGACCAAGCTATGTTTTATAGCCTAACTTACATCGTAAGTTTTAAAGGAAATCGATGGAAGGAAACATAAGGCTTGCAAAACAATGGATACGTTATGAATTAATGTAGTTAATCACTTTTGGATCAAGGTTTTTTTTATTATTGCTTGATTCCACACCGTATTTTCGGTACAAATAGGAAATTTTTATCATGTGATATTGGTAGCCCATATTCTGCAGGCCGACCATTAATGTGAGGTGTGCATCGGCAGGGGATCGAACCCCGGACCATGTACATAGTTGGTGAGAGTCCTAACCACTGTGCCACCGACTCAGTGCTTATCGGTAGTCTGTGTCAATGAGAGAACTGTTAAATGCTAAGGTCCTGTGGGCATGTTTCTTTCTGGCATAGGGCTGTTCAACCGTGCATATCTACGACAAAATTATTAAGAATTCAAATTAGTACAGTACGACCAAGAGGTGAAAACGTTACCATAAAGCTACTGGGTTGGGATCCGATGGTTGATGAATGCACACTCCCTTCGCTTCGTAGCATAAAGCGACGGATGTCGATTTTTGACGAAATCCACTTTGAAGCCTAATCCTTGAACAGATGTTTCATCTTAGTATTATGAACTCGTTGGTTAGGCAAACCTCATTTTTTCAAGTAATTGCAATTGTTGAATAGTTACTATTGTGTAGAAGTGTAGTTAATAACACTTATATATGAATAATTCTGTATGTCAAGTATTTGTGCTATCTGTGGTGGAAAAGCTCCTCAACACACCAGTTAGAGCGACCTTGCTGTGCGATTTTAAGGACTTTTATTCAATCAGTAGCACAGATTGTGAATTGATTGAACACAACTGCGATGATGACTATCGTGACTTTGTGCAAAATATACGATATTTTACAAAAAGAATCAACACTATCGCCGACTGACTGGTTTCAACGTAAAGCTTTTCACAGATGTGCAGCAGCTCCAGTTGCCACACTCCCTCCATGAAACACACAAAGCAAGAAAAGAGAGTAAAACAAAATTCAAAACAGAGATAATAAACAGAAATATGAGGCAAAAAGAAAAGTAATACGAAAGAACGACAGAATTTTATAGGATATGATACATCAATAAGAGTGAATGAATCAGCGCCATTGAGAACGATTTCCAGCCATCTCACCAATTTCCTTTAGCTGTTATCAGTTTTTACAATCCTGAGGACCCCAGTCAGTCAGGAATTCTACATCTCCCTACGTGAATGGCTTAAACTAACTGTTGTGGATATCATTGACTGATGCCATGTTTTGGTCTGACCACCACTAGATCTTTTCCAACTTGATCCTATGTCAGCTAACAATATCCTCAACAATGAAGCAATTCTCATAATATCCATTTTTATTTTGAATGCCGAAAATCCTTCCCTCATCTATTGTACTTTATTTTCATGCCATTATTCATTCACCGATCAGTGCAGTTGGTGAAATGCTTCGACGTCTTTTAATGCAAGATCATAGTGTAGCATTTCTGCTCACTGCAACGTGTCCATATGTATCGTCATTAAAATTTTCAATACCTCATTTATAAATTAAGTAGCCTTTTTTGGTTTCATAATCAAATTCTTTTCTTTATATAGAAAGTAATTATTTCAAGGGTATAATTTGTGCTAGGTCAATGTTCAAACTCTTAAGGTCATACGACATAGGGGAAGTACTCATCGATATAAATAAATAAATGATTATAGTCATTTCATGCCTACCCTCTTATTTAGTATTATCTCTATCACAAGAAATGACATCTCAAAATGTATTCGTTTGCAAAATATAAGTAGCATTTTCATTCATTGATTTCTGTATACATTCTGTATGAGGTCACTGAAGTGTTTCTTCTATTGATCATAAATTTTTTTTTGCATAACACTCGAACATCCTTATTATTTATTAAATAAAATCACACCATAATATCATCCATCATTTCATTGGTGTTGATAATTGTACTTTAAAATAAATTTAGCCTATAATCAAAATTGTGGTTGGACAGAGTTCGTACAACTGTGTAATTCTTTTTTTTTTTAATATCTACATCATAATTACATATCGGAATAATTGGGTTGACAAACTTGATTCTATAAATGTCTGTTTGTTAAAGAAGTCTGCTTTTGCATGTATTTATGGGCAATCATTACTTTTTACCGTCCGCACCGTAGAAGTCAACTTCCTCTTGTATGACCACAAAGCTTAAGGGATAACTACTTCAGACTAATCTCACACGGTCTGTCCGGAGTAGCTTTTGGAGTTGTGTCGACATCAATACCTTACCACTGGTTACGGACCACCACATGATATTAGGGGATGTGTACATTTCGGGACCAACTCTCCCTAATCCACCTCCCTAGAGCTGGAATGTACTGTAACTAGCTTTTTGGTCGTCCGAGGGAAACATCTTACTGCTGTTATATCCGTAGTGTGAATGGATTACAATGTAATCATTAGCTGCTTTTAGTCTAGCCACAATCGGAGCAACCTTTCTGGTGTGGTACAACCGGCAGGAAAATTCATTCCAGTCAGTGTACCTCATCGAGGCATTGAAATATGCAGGTGTGAGGACCACATCAAGGTAGAAGCTATGGGTGGAGTTCGTCTTATTTAGTGCCCTACAGCTTCGCAGGTTAACAGTTAGTATCAAAACATAGGAAAATTCAGCTCTTCATGAACATTTAGGTGAACTGCATTCAACATTCACTTATTAAGTATGGTTCTTCGTCAGCGATTGGCATTTTGTTTATATGAAGAAATTTGTGTTCCATTTATGGATGAATACTGGAAATAAGGCGAGATTTTAGTTCTTTAAAAAACACGTCATTTTCTAACAGTTTGGTACTTTTGTTTACTTGCCGGTTTAGTCTCACTAGATACCTACTCACATATATTGATTACTAAAGGTTACTGCTTTTTAGTCTTCAATTAATAAATGAGTCATGAACTATCCCAGTGTAATTAGTAATTTCAGTAATCCCTCAGTGAATTTATTATTCTTCAATGGTAATTATTTTTTTCTTAGTTTTCGACCGGTGAACTTAAATATCCTCATATTCGATTTATAATTCCATTATTTTAAATTCTTTTGAATACTGGTCACTGTGTAAGGTGACTAACTGACTGTATTAGTTTGAATAAATTGTGTTTTTGTGCAATTTATTTATGTGTGATCGAAAAAGGAATATTCCTCCTAGTATTGATAATAATGATATAATCAGTTATTACTGATGTGGCCCGCCTTACTTTTCATATATTTTCTACTTCTTCATTTTTCTATATTGTTTTGTATTTGTGATTAGGATGAAACGAGTACACCTGCTACGATCAGAGTGATCACTATCAGGTCGAACAGGCAAAATACACGTACGTTTCTCTATATTACTCCCTAATATCCATGTAATAATCCTTATTAATAATCTTAACTTGAAGTGATATTCGTAAACACTGATGGTTAATACTCTATACAATTGATTAAATAATGTTAGTGGAATATTTTCAAATTAGCTGGCAGAAGAGGCAGCGAAGACAGGACTTCATGTGAACCTAGAGAAAACGGAGGTGATGAAGACACCTAACTAACAACAACAAGCATTGATGGGAGAAATCTCAAGAAACTGACACCTTTCATTTATCTAGGCGGCATCGTTTGATCTGCACGCGACATGGATGAGGATGTCAGAGCCAGCCAGCATTGGAAAGGGTCAGAGATTTAACCTGCCACCAAAAAGCATTTCGAACAGACTTCAGACCGTCATCATAACAGCTGCTTTCGTTAGATCCTGAAGATAAGGTGGCCAGAAAGAACTCTAGCAAATCAACCAACCAAGAGGCTATGGCTCAACAAATATGCAAGAGAAAATGGAGGTGAATTGGAAAATACACTGAGGAAACTATTGAGCGAGCAGTGTCACGCGCTACGCCCTTGATAGGGACCTAAATGGGAAACGACAAGTTGGTCCTTGAAGGGTGATGTTTAGGGGATCGTTTGACAAGGAAATGAAAGCAAATAGGGAATCGTCGGGCCAGCTATAAAAGACTGCAGAGAAGAGGTTGAAATGGAGATATGCTATTGAAACCCTATGTTTCATTCGCAACCCAAAGGAATAATAGTAATAATCAAGTGTTTTTAAAAGTTTTATAGTAGGATTCTCATTGAGGACTATCACAGTGTACTTTGGGATTAATCAATGAATGGATAAATCAGTTTTATGTTATCTCTAAATTTTGTTATCCTATGTTGTTCCTGCGTATTTGATATGTTACTGATTGTCCAATGATGTCTGCGTACTAACATAAGTCCAAATTTTAATAAGAAAACACTTTTTGATTACGATACAAATATATAGATTTGACAAATTTCCAGTCACTTCAATAATGAAACACAAATAGATTACAATACTCTAGAGATAATTTATAAATGTTGATGTCAGTGTCTACTGTTTCTTTGAAGGCGTACACTATCTAACCATATGAACGACATCAGAACAGTTTATGATTAGAAGTTTATGAAGATCATTGGCTATAATCTGTGCAACAGGACTTATTATTATGTTGAATCAGTTGATCATCTAAACAATTACAATTACAACTTTTCGCTCTATAATGAGAATGCTAGGAATCAGTTACCTTGAATAGATAGATATCTCATGTACCAGGCCGTGAGCCATACTTAAGCTTATGATACCACCCAGTTGCCAAGGATAAAGTAGATAGAACAGGATTAAGAGCCGGGAACACATTAGCTAAACACCAAATGCTTCAGCTATTGAACCGCATCTTCATGCCACTAGGAATAATTTTGCTACAACAAAACCACATATATGATAAAGTATGTGTTGTATATGTAAACATACGAAAGTATTTAGTTCATTTCAAAGATATTTTGCGAGAAATAAAAATGCAACTATGTACACCTAAATTTAGGTTTTTTCCCCTTTCTTTCAATTAACTGTAGGTCTAATTTGTGGAGGGGTGGCACTTGAATTGTAACTAGTTGATCCCGAATTCGAATCCCACTCCATCTACTGCAACCAGATCACCTGAATTGTATAATTATTCCTCAGGCATGAAGTGTGGTTCACAGTGTAATACATAAGAAATCTGTTAAGGGTAGTTGGGTTTAATTTCTGCCATAAACATTAAAATATGGTGAAGTGAACAAAAAGTTTATTTGGGGGTGGGTGGGTTCAAAGCCTCTAGAATGATATGGTTAATAAAAAACGGTATACGTTCGATCACTTCAGAAAATATTTTTGAATACTACCAATCATTATTAAAGGCATTCAGTAAAGAAATTATCCATTTGTTGTTATGTTCTCGTTTAAAATTTGTATATTTTCCTTTTTATATTTTTCTATCTGCTCATGTGAAATTCGGCTTTTTTGGATATATTACATGTACTTCCAATACGATGTGGCCTAACATCTTTTACCCCTTTTATTATCAAGCTACGGTAAGTAAGAGTTTTGCTTTGTTTAGGATATCTTTGTTATTTTTTTGTTGCTTTATTCTTCTGTGTTGAATAACAATCATAAGTATTACAATCTGTTTATTTTCATGTGTGTTTAATGTGTATGAACCCAGTTACCCGGAACACCTCTTTTATATACTAAATTGCGAGCTGTTGGTACTCTGCGGTTGTCTGGGATGAAGTAGGTGTTTAGGGATTTTTAACCCAGGACCCAGTGGCCGAAAGTCGAGTGTTTATGTCAGTTAGGCATCCCTCTGCCTTTTGGTCTTCAAGTCATCTGAAATAAGGTATGATTATCGAAGTAATATAAAAATTCCTCACAGTGTGGGATTTATGACTGAATTATTCACATTGAAGAAATCACTAACAATTCAGTGGAACCATGTTTTATACATACATTTTTGTTTCATGTTCAACCTCGAACTTTTCTATTCTCTTCAACGTAGGTTTTAGTATTTCCTAAATTAATGAGACAGTATGCATACACGCGTACATTAACTTTAGCAAGAGTTTACTTCTTAATTTATATTTAACTAGTTAGGTAAAGTGTGTCGGCGGTGCAGTGATAGGATGATCGGGCAGTTAAGTTGAGTAATCTAGAAAGAAGCTCAACCACTGCGACGCGTACATTTGCACAAGAGACTATTATAAAGTAGTATAATTGTGTGGAGAAAGAGAACCAGTGAATTTTTGTTCATTGAATCAACATCATATACATACAATGCCCGACTGATAACTGCTACCTTGTCGTGGTAGTCGGGCTTGAATACCGTAATGACCCAACATGCTAAACTGACTGTGATTCTGTCCCTGCAGGTCCTACCATGTCAGGAAGGTTGTTTGGATAGTGGTTAAACTAAAAGCAGTTACCATGGGGTACACGGGCTCCAGTATCCAATCGGATCAAATGGCATATGAACCGATATGGGTCACCGGAAACCATGGGAATGCAGCTCCTGACACTGCTCCGCTGCCTTGCTGATTAGACTCCAAGTCAAAGGCTCGGGAGATGGTCTCTTGATAAAACCACCTGCTTCGGTCTGGGCACCCGGGCAGTATCTCAGCCCTCACACAATGAATTGAATGAAGCAACAAACAATCAATGAAACTATTATACGTGTTGCAGTTTCCTTCTTTCTTCCCTTCCCGATGATAATTAACGAATACTGTTTGAACTTGTTAAGCATGAGTGTTTTCCTTCCAGATGAAGTTCTTTATCCGTTCTCTACTTATATATGTATTTTTTCTCTTCTTTCTTTCTTTTTCTTTTGGTCTATGTTGTTTTATTATTATTGTGTGGTGCATCCTTCTTGGTGCCATATTGTACCAAGTTTTTATGCGTTTAAATAAATAAATAACAATCTAAATGATACAGCTCCCCAATCCTTTACATATATATGGAAAACTGCAATAAAAATAGGTTGGAGTAAAAATCATGTAAAGCAAGTGATGCAGTCATGATATGATTATTAACAATAAATTGTCCTCAAAACATCATCTAGTATTTAATACTGTATTACTGTGTGTCGTATTAAATGAACTTATCCCGTTTGGATTGATACAAGTTGATAAGTGCAGAATGAGCCTTTTGTATATTTTGTGTTGAAAACTGACCAGTTAATCAGTGGAATAAGACTGATACAACTTTCTGAGTAATTGTAGCTGTCAACTTATTCAAGTACTTGTACTTCCTATCCTTTCACACTAGTGTAGTTGCAAAAAGAAGCGCAATCAGCATCGATTGTATGCTAATTTTCGGTGTGTTTTCTTTACACATTAAACTGAGAAAACCTTTCGTCAGTCTTTTACAAATTCACAGTTGCATATTCATAAAATTACTCTGTCTGTATAGTGATTATGTGATCATACAGCACTACTGAATAGTATGAATTATTTTCACATATCTTGTATATTTTATACACAACTGGTTAGTATGTATGCTACAGCGTAATCAAGTCTACTATCTACTAATCTAGGGATTGATTTTCATTCAGTTAAATAAAGTCTTTATTTCTAATATTATACGCTTATTAGTTTAGGATGTATACATGGAATGCATATATATATATATATATATATATATATATATATTCGTGTTTGTTGATATGATATAATTGGCCTGATATTACCCAAAGATGTGTGGAATCATCACTAGGCGAATAAAAATAACAAGGTATGATGATATGATGTTATTGATGCGATTAGAGAGAATGTATAACATCATCTCGAAATCAACAGATTTTCTATTAATTAATCAAACCATGTTACAGTTATCTGTGCATCAGATAGATGGGTGTTTACACATACATATCAGTTGGGTGTAGAGATTAATTTGTTTTTCATGTACCTATCTGTATGCACGTGTGTGTGTGTGTTTACGTGTTGTAGGCATCAGGCGTATGGGTGCAGGCTACTTAAGGTTTAATCGTATGATAAATGCAACGAAAGTGTATACTTTATTCATTTGTAATAATCGATTTTATATAATTGTTTCTGCCAATTGTTTTCCATGTTATATGTTGTCCGATTGATAAACTCTTGTTTGCAATGGTCGACGCTGAGTAAGCGGTTAAAGTTGTACTAAGGCTTGGTATTCTGACTGACTGATGTCAAGGTGTGTATGTTGACCTATTTCATGAGATTTCTGTACTGTCGGTAGTTATTAGTTGCGTCTTCACTGACTTATGACCAATTGGTTTTTGTTAAGTGTCCAACGAATTTCATCTGTACTTTAACCTGTCTACATTTGTCATCATACGTCACTGTACTCAGTGAGTATTAACATTTCTGGTTTTTAGTTCTCTGTGTCGGTGGCACAGTGGTTAGGACTCTCGCCGACCATGCACATGGTCCGAGGTTCGATCCCCTGCCGACGCACACCTGATATTCATGGTCGGCCAGCAAAATTTGGGCTACCGATACCCATGCTGAAAATTCCATGCATGTACCAAAAAATACTGTGTGGAATAAAGTTGTTATCAAAAATTTAAAAAATTAAAATTAAATATAAGGTGTGTAAAAATGATTAGATAAAATGTACATTAGTGGCTTGTGTCTGTAATCTTTCTACGTGTAGGTCAGGGTGGAGTTCTGAAATATAGGAATTTCAGTTAGGTGGTTACGGGTCTCAACTCCACTAGACGTATTGCAACCTGGGCAGCGTTCACATAATAAACATTATGCGTGAAAGCTGATCCCAGTAGCTAAATAACTATTGCTTAGTACCAGTTGTTGTATAATTAACACTAACTATTTCTTCATTTTAATAAACTTTAGCAACAAAATTTCACTTCATACTTACAACACTGATCGTAGGATATGTAGTGGATCACGTGTTTGTTCTTGTAGATTGTGTTTACAGAAGTTTTGATCACTCATCACGTTTGCTATTTCTTTTACCATCATTTTATCCTGATATACACTAGTCGGCGTATTCGACAAGCATACACATACAGCTAGCCAGTTTGTGTCATTCCAGTGATCCCCCCAAAAATTTTTTTAATGACTCGGAGAAGATTTTTAACATAATTTACTATATCCTAAAAATTGCAAAACTAAACAGACGGACAGAGGTACTCTATATTCGTGTCTCATTATGACAGGAAGCTGTTGAGACATCTCACAAATTCACATAGGTCGACGTCACTGAAATCAATATCTGATATTTTTTATCACCATTCTCCTGAAGCCTCTGTAGTGAAAATACCAAGTCAAATTATCAGTCTCCTGCAGTATACATCATTCTTGCTTCTTTTTTAATGAAGTTCTGACTCTCTTGCTTAAGTGACTAAGTAAATAGCATTCCTAGATGACAGTGTTAACTGAAGGCGATTTGTTTTCCCTTGGTTACCATAGATTTCTGGTTATCATTTTTACAATGTATAACTTTGTAATAACCCTTTTTAATCCCCCACTTTTTCATTGTAATTTCTGTATAGAGTCCATCAGCAGTCAGTAACAGTGGTGATAATACTCCGTGTCGAGATTCTGATCCGTAAGTATTATAATTTTGATATTTGTTGTGCATATTTTCGAATTATGTTTAATTGCACATTCATATTCATTTATTTCACTGCTTTCGAGATACTGACTGATATTTCAAGCACGGACACATACACACAAAGTATGAAAATTGTTTTATGCATGCTAAGTTCATATGTATCAAATGGAGTTCTTTTCATTACCTCTTTATGGGATTTATATTACATAGACTCTTAGTTCGAGTCCAGTCTTTTACATTCCTAATAAATGATATTTTGATTACTTTGTTTGTTTGCTTTCTAATGGTGAGACTGTTTAAAATAGTTTTTGATTGGTAAATTGCTGGTGATGTAATGCGTGAGGTTTCTGAACAACGGCAACCGCATTAATAGTTCGATACTCTACCAGAATGACCTACAAGACCCAACTACCAACCAGGTTATTATTTCACTACACTTAATCAGTTATCATGTGAATAAATGATACAATGGTTGTTTGTTACTTTTGTAGTTTCTGTGAAAGCGGATTCATTTTCTCTTATTTTCCTTATACAGTTAAGAATTTTACAACAGTATTAGCGTCGGTGGCATAGCGGTTAGGACACTCGCCGACCATGCACATGGTCCGGGGTTCGATCCCCGACCGACTCACTCCTTTACCTCGTTAAGCCAGAAATAATGCTGGTTAAGAGGAAAAGTTGGGCATGAGGCTAGCAACCCCATCTTGTAAAAATAAACACTGCTACAGAAATTTCAAGCCATTAGCTTGAAGCCCTATGTTCCACTGGGGAACTTGAAGGAAAAAAACAACAACAGTATTTAGGTAACACTTTCTTTCATAATTAAGTACCTAGTAGCCTTCTAACGGTTAATGGTATGTACTAAGAGAGATGAGGCATACCAGTTTGAAGATATTTACTAAAGTAAAGTGAAGATATATATATATATATATATATATATGCATACACTATCAATCAGTAGTCTTGGGGCATTTCAGCGAAAGGTGTAGTACTTATGTCAATGAGAATATAATAGTGAGCCTTGTGTTTGTTTCTAGTCTCGAGGATATCATCGACTTCTATTATTGTTCGTATTTTTTTACTCAGTTGAACAGTATTCTGTGCGGTTGTGTCCTTTTATTTTGGGTGGCCTTCACAACGAAGTAAGCTCTGTGAAGGCGTTGTCTAGGAGGACAATGAGTGCCTTGCAAATCAGTCATCAGGTTCAGTAAGCACAACGACACTAAAGCATACACCTCATCTACAAATCTACTATATCACTATTCGTAGTGGGTGATTATATTTGAACTGTTGTGCTCAATGTTCCAACGAAGTCTTTTTTAGCACACATCTATGATCATTCAAACATACACCGAACAAACTAACAAAAGTTAAAGCAACTTTTATTTTCTCTTCTATTTCTCTCTCTTTCTTTCTGCCTTTCCGCTATATTTACTCAACTCACTTTTATCACCGGGTTTGTTTCTTTTCATTTTTATAACATTACCATTGCCACATAGTCACGTGATACAAGATTCTCATTTTATGTATTTCTTTCTTTTTTTCGTGCTTTTTCATTCCTTTTCTACAAAATCACTTGAATTTGAATAATAATTCTGAAAAATTTTCACTGTTAAATTTCATGGTACAATTTTTTTCTTTTCTTTTTTTAACATTCTTTATTACTACTACTAATGGTGATTACTTCTTCGTGGATAAATAATTTCATCAGATGATGGTTAATTAATTACCAACAGATTCGCGTTATGCAATGCATAATTACCCATAAAACATTACTCATCTCTATCTTTCTCATCGCAAAGTAACAATGATTGTACAGGACAACACAGAGTTAACTGTTAACGGTGATCCAAGTGGGAGAGAATTTCTTCCACTTTTCTTCCCATAACAGTTAGTTTGAACCACATCGGGAGGTGCAGACTTCATGGTTTGCGGTCTTCAGGATGGTAAAAACCAGTGACGTCTGGATGCAATTGGTGATATAGCTCAAATTCGTTCTCAATGGGGGCGTCGATGCATTCTGTTTGTTGGCTGTCTTTTTAACCTTCCTTACTCTCTTCTCTCGCTTTGTGTGCTACGTGTAGGGAGTTAACTCGAAGTGCTGCACATCTGTGCAAAGTTCTGTGTTGAAATCGGTCTCCAGTTTACTTTACTATTTCTTGAGTTTGTTTGTGTTAACCGAGCTGCTAGGTTTAATTTAGAAGTTTTCCGTGTCCTCCTGGATAGTATCTACAGTGCTGACTTCCTTGTGAAGTGACTCTTGGAATTTCTCTATGAATGCTCTAACTGTTTTTTCTAATGACTCTGGTTGTGATTGGTTGTCCTCAGAAGTTGTCAAGCATGCCGTGTATGCCTGTAAAACAATAGATACAGACAACTAAGGGCACTCAATTTAACTGAGAAAATGTCAAAACTTTAAACAGTCTTCATCCAACAGACTTATGATATAGATGAAAATTACTCGTCAAAAAGGAGCACCTTATGTGGCAATCGAAGCTATTGTCACAGACACAAATTAACGTAAGGATAAGAAAACATTTGAAAACAACCAATCGTAGTCAAGGTCATCATTGTGGGATTACTGACTTCACACTAAAGTAAGCACTGAAAGCTTCGCAATTAAACCAGAGGAGTGTGACCAAACCAATAGCGTCCACTCGATCTACAAATCTCCATTATATCAATAACAATTCTTTTCTTTGTAAACTATTGGTCCACTAGGGAATCTCCTTACGATGATGACTCATATGTCAGTGTGAAAATTGAAAAATTTCTTGGTTCTTCCATATCTGTCGGTGAACTAATAGATCAGACAAGTTATTTACAACAGTATCCTAGTTGGCTCGGATTTTGTGGTCCAGAAAATAAAAAGAAATTTGCTCCAACTTATATTAATCGAAATGATAATATCTGGGGTAGGTATCAAATGTCCGTTTTTACCATTGTTTTTTATCCTTTATTATTCTTTCAGTTATCCTCTGTTTTTCTAAACTGTTAGAGTTGTTTGGAGGATTTTGTTGTGAGCTGATATCAGTTAGAGGAACATTGGAAAACCAGCTGGGAATACTGGTTTGGGATTCTTCATAGTACGCGCCAACCGGGGTTCGAACCCAAGGCCTGCTGGTTACAAGGCGAGCTGGCTCGTAGACCATTAAGCCACTGCGACCCGATCCAATGGCCCATGAATTCTAACTTCTGCCAATTCATGACATAGCGAAACCACTTCGCAATGTCTTCTTCGATGAGTTACTGCCTCACCTTCAACTTGCTGTATCCTACTAGCTGTGACTTCCCACTAGAACCCCAGGTTAACTACCTGAATAGTGCCAGTCGCTAGTGAGCATCTCATTGATATTCAAGTATTGGTTTTGTAGGGATTTAGTTTGATTAGTTTGAGGATTTCATCATGAGCTGATATCAGTTAGAATTGTATTAACAAGTCCTAAAAAGAACTAAATGTTGCTCTCCTGGATTCCCATTGCTAGTCACCAACCGCCGAAATAACATCATGTTAATTCCCTGTGATATCGTCGAAGCGTACGTACTAGGAGCCGACATATCAACAGAGATTTAACATATCAGTCCAATGTAACCAATCAATCAACTGGATGTACATTTCTAAAATAAAAAATAATAGTCGTTTTAAGGTTATAGTTAAAACCAAGCAAAAGTGAAAGCATATATATGTATATATTATTACCATCCTTTTTCGAATGAACAGAATGATGAAAACAACAAACTGCTTTTTATTTCTCCGGTTTAATGCACTTAGAATTAGATACTACTATATGCCCTATAAATGGTGTTAAGACAGCATGCTTTTCTGTATCTTCCCATGATAGGAAAAGAGTTTACAGTCTCATCGTATTCAGTAACCATTTTTTTTAACGTATGAATAAAATCGTACATAGTCCATCGGATTGATATTATTTATCTGATATGGTAACCCTAAGAATTAAAATAAAAAAAAATCGTAAGGTCACTTAGATGATCCGAAGTGGAGATAGCAATTTGAGCTCTTTTTTTTTGAGGAACTGTATTTTAGGCAAAAACCGACCTCTTTTAATTCATTCAATCTAGATAAATAGGTGAATCAGTCATTTTTGTTTTTTTATTCTTTTGAGGATTGTTTTTTATTTCATTTTTATGCTTTTAAAAGTCATCTATAACGTTGTATGCTAACGAAATCAGTTCATTCTATACGCTTTATAATTTACGCTTGTATAAATATTGAGCACGAATAAATTGTAAAAATTATATTTACTGTGACTTACAGTAGGACTCGTTAGCTGTGAATATATCTATTGCCCAGTAGCCGAACGGATATCTACTGGATTCAAGTCGCAGTAGGAACACTACTTATCATTCATTGCGAATCCAGGCGCATCTGTTTAATGAGTCGTAAATATAACTTTCTGGACTGTCTTTCTGGATTCCACTACTAGCCGTTATCAACCAAATAGCATCGTTCTAAACTTAATGAATTGTCAAAGCGTGCGTACTAGCAGCCGACATGTCAATAGAAACTGATTGTCTTCCGTAATATACTAGTCCCTTATTCTGAAATAGGTGTGGAGATCTACAGCACTTAGCACAGAGAAGAGGATTTTAATTTTCAGCATTAATGTCAAGTCAGTGTTTCTATATAGTTCAGAGACTTGATACGTTACCTAAATCATTTCTGACAGACTGCAAACTTTCATCAAGATTTCTCTTCGCTCGATACTGAAGATAAAATTGCCCTGCTGGGAAGAATGGGTAGCAAAAGACTGGCAACAAACCACTCAAGAATAAGGAAATGATAGACTGAGAATTCGATACATTTCATACAGGATAAAAAAAACAGAGAAATAAACCAAAACAAAGGACTTTTTTGAACGGCAATGTACGGGGGAAAGGTCAGAAAGAAATTGAAATAGATTAGACATACACTGGTAAGATATTCAAGTGATATCGAGTGGAATCTGAATGGGACGTGATTTGGGCCTCCGAAGGTGAGGAAAGCTTTTGGGCAGCTGTAAGTGATGGCAGAGAATCAAGTGAAATGGGAATGTGCCACTGACGCTTTATATTCCATACTGAACGCAAAGAATGAACAACAATATTTTTTTCAAAGTAATATACAGTTTTTATAATAACTTATGATGGAATCGCGTTTTCCTGTTAATCTTTTTCAGAGCAGTACATCTGTCAAATGATCTTGACACATACACACATGCATAAGTATCACTTCTAACTTCTTTTTTCATTTATTTCCGGTAAAATTCAACTGTTTAATTGCATCTAACCATTATTCATGTTAATGATTAACTTTTTCTACAGAACTGGTATTCTCTGAACGTGGTTATGTAGATATGTTACTGATTGTCAGAGATCTATACATGATACCATTTCCAAAAATTGATGCACATTCAATTAATGGCTTATCTACTGATTCTGTACTCGGCAATTCATCAGATTTATGTACAGCTTTGTTCCCGTGTATCAATGAGTTGGTTAAATCGCATGAGAAAATTTTTCGTGTTCTTGCCGGTCTACATGTGGAACGTGAAGATCATGTTGTGTCTTCCTTAGGAGCCTATTTGGTGAAGTTAGTGAGTTATACCAACTGATTTCTTAGTATTAAATTTCTTCCGCATATAACATTACTGGTTTTATATTTTGTAAAGTTTCTCCGTTTCAATAACAGAAATTCATAAGAATAACCAATTAAAAGTATTACGGTAACGATATATATATATTTCTTCCTTCACGTTCCCCAGTGGAACATAGGGCTTCAAGCTAGTGGCTTGAAGTTTGTGTAGTAGTGTTTATTTTACAGGATGGGATTGCTAGCCTCATGCCCAACCTTTCCTCTTTACCAGCATTATTTCTAGCTCAGCGAGGTAAAGGAGTGCGTCGGTGGCTGGGGATCGAACCCCGAACCATGTGCATGGTCGGCGAGTGTCCTAACCGCTATACTACCGACGCATATATATATATATATATATATATATATATATATAACAATATATTGATGCATTCGTTTCTTACTGTTTCTACGTTAACACAGTAATTATTTCATTTATCTATGCTGTTTTTGTACAGTTTGATGCAGATAGTCTTTCATCTTTATCTCAATTATATGGTCAATTTTTATTTGCTCAAAAACGTATACGTCAACGTTTACAATTGTGTAAAAGTCATCCACAGATTGCATCATTTTTTCAGGTATGTTATCATCATTTTCATAAAATGTAATTTTTAGTTTTTTTTTTATACCGACCACAATCTTGGTTATTGATGCCATTTTTTTGTCACTACTCAGAATGCGGTATATATACATCAACAAGCTTCCTTGTAAACGATAATAATTATGGTTGTTAGCTTTTTAGAAGTCTTTGAATTAGCCAAAGACAGTGATTTGTACAGAACAGGTTTTGTCAACACTTGTTTCGTCAGTCTCTCTTCAGCTGCGTAGAATTTTCAAAGGCCACATAATATGAGTTAACAGAAGATTTCAAAAATAATAAAAAAGTTTCCAAGAACTACACTAATATAACTAACTTATACACAGAAGATTTAAGGTTTCATAAAAGAATGTTTGAATACATCGGGAAAGGAGTTGTGTAATAAACTCATGAGGCGGATAATGAGGTGAAAAATGACGATAAGTTACACAGTAGTTTAGTGAGTTTAGTTCATATCATAGAAACGAAAACAAGCGTAACTATAATATAGAGAAAGGAAAGAAGTCCAAGCAAATGATTGTGTAATTAAATAAAAGGAAGAGCTACCATGTCCAGGAAAGATTGATAACTGTCTCATTGTGAACACAATAATTGTGCCTTGGGTGTTTGACAGTTATTGCTTCGGTAAACTTGATTACAAATAAATCATGTAGTCTATTAATGTGGTTAAAGTATTTCATCATATCCAGCTGTAAGTCAGTTTCAATGAGATGCCGGGCAATAGCACTATTGGAATCGTTTGTCCTCTTAAGTGACAGGCTTTTCACCACAAATTTAAAGAATCCCTTCTTTCTTCTCTTCTAATTTTCGAAGTGTTCAGAATTCTTTTAGATTTCCGTGATTTGTAATTTTCAAATTTCTCTATTCAGTATTTTGTTTATTTTTTGTTCATAATTATTAGTCGTGTCATTTCGAAGTAAATATTTATCGGTCAAAAATATAAACAAACACTAAAATCCAGCATTTTTAAAGAAGAAAAACAAGACTAACAGTTAAATTTATTCTTTATTTTAAACATCGTCTTCATCTTTAATGAAAACTGAAGTATCAGAACTTTCATCTTCTTTAAGTACTGAATTACTGTGAATAATGAAGAAGTTTTGCGGAAACGGTGAAAGTCGATGAATTTTAAGCGGTACAATTTTCGTTCTTTCTCTCCAACTCTACTAAGTAGCTTGTAAGAAGTAGATGGAACGAACAGGAATTCTTGTGCCCAACAGACAATTAGGCAGCAGTTTTAGCGGTATGCACTGATATTTGATTTACCTTGAGACTGCAGCAGTATCAGGCTAGACGCTTAAAGTTGTTAGTTGGTAATTCGCCATTGCGTTCTTCTCCACTGCTAGCTGATAACAAACAAATCTCAGATAGTGACTTTAGAAGAATTCACAGTGTCTTACATAAAAAAAGTAAAGTTGGATACAAAATATGGGTCCTTTTGCAATACATGGAAATAACGAAGAAACAGAAACAGTGAAAGCTAACAGTTTGAAAATTCTTTTAATTACCGCATACTACATTAGTTCTTAGAAGACGTGGGGAAGTGTTATTGTTTTTTCCATAAACATTAAAATGCGATATGGGTTAATAATGGAATTACATAATTTTAACCTTATAAACTTAAGTACACACTGATAAACAGAGTTGATAATTCTCACTTCGTGTAAATTTGGTCGACTAAGCTTTTAGTACCTTGAAACTAAGGGTTGGTTTCCGAAAGCAGTAATGTGGTTCACTAACTTAAGCACCGTCTCTCAGTCAGTCCCGCTTCACTTACTTCAACAATCACACAGAAAAGTGAGGCACATAACCGGGTGCATAACAAATCTGTTCCAAGTAGCGGCTGAGTCTTAACCTCAAAAATTTATAAAAGTGTATAAAACCGTAGGGATATAAATAGTTGTATAGAAGTACACAAAATTTGGATACCTAACAAGAATGTTGCCATACATGTTATTTTATTTTCTGCTTTCAATGCTTAATTCCAATATATATATATATATATATATATATATATATATATATATATATATATGTCAAATTGTTGACCTTTATGTATACATATATACAGACGGTTAATGTTCTCCTCTTAGCTTACCCTTTAGTCTTGATAACTATTTTGATAAAGGTGGGAGTTACTTTTAGATTACCCAGTATGATTCATTCATTTGGTAGTTTTGGCTTTCAGTTTTTTAAGAATATGCTAGATTTTAGTTGAAAAACATGCAGTTATTATTTTCTGAAGTATACGTTTCACATAGTAGGTTAATATGTATTCCGAGATTCGTCGAAATGTGCCTATTTATTTAATCAAGCCACCCTCATTTATTACCTGTAATCCATCTGATTTTTCAGTGTGATTCATGCCGTGTTTGCTATGCAACGTTTGAATGGCTATCGACCATAGGATCTTGGACACTGCATCAGTAAGGGTGACTCATATCTAATTTTCAAATGAGATTTTTGTTAAACCTTCTTTATGGTTGGCTTCATTAGTCACCTAGATCAACCAGTTTGTATTTCTGATGAATTTCTGTTTTCTGTCTGATGAGTACAGAACAAAATCTAATCAAATAATCACTCAACAAAGTGCTGATAAATGTCTTGGTTTGAACTGTTGGATGTTATTGCTTCCTCGGTCCTTGTTCTTCTCACAGCTTTTTAATCTTTGTCAGACCTTATGAATCAGTATTCATTTAATACAGGACTAAATTGGGATCAAATGTAATTCGCTCACTAGCCAACTGTTCTGACTAATGTTTCAGTTGTCAAGAGTTAGGAGTTATATTAGAGGGACGTTTTTCGTCGGCTTTATGTGACTGTTTATAATCTTTTTCAAAACAATCTCTACCACAAACCAAGTTAATTGACAGATGTTACGTAATGAAAATGTCTGCGTCATTTATTTTGCTTTCATAAACCACCATCATTGTTAATAGTTAGAATAAAGCACTATTCACCTTTGTTGGCTCTCCCAGTTTACTGTAACCAGCTCGAATGTGGCTTCACAAATCCACTACTTCTTACTTTCCAGTGATTACAGATGTCGACTGTCTTCACACGTATGAACATGGGGACAAACCTGACAAGAGCGAATGCTTACATTCGTTCTTTGCTAAGTAATAAATGAATAAGCTTAAATACAAACTTGATGTCATTATGTGTTAATCAAGCGCAAAAAGGTTTTACAGTATACCATTAGACACCCAAACATACGATTACAATCCAGGAAAGTATTCCAAAAAAAGATCAACAATTTATCATGAACTCCATCTAAGAACACATACAGCAGTGCCGAAGGCATCAGTCCTTCCAGTTAGAATAGCTTTTCTTATTCATTTCGATGTACTGTTCCCTTTGAGGGAAGTTCAAGGTAACAGTTGTCTGTGAAGTGATACCTGTATACTATCCATATCAATTAGTGCTTACTCGTCAATTGGACTTCTGTCTGAACCGATTGTAATTGTTTATTCTGTTTACAATTTTTTATTGTCTAAGTCTTCTTTCTTCTTAAGTCACAAGAAATCCCAGTAAGCGAAATAATTAAAATACATTAACCGGTAGTAGGATAATGGATTCGTACTTTACTTATTCTGATGTAATTTACATACAGTTAATTTTCTCCTCTATTTATCATAAGGAAATATAAATCAAGTCCAATATGCATACAAGTTGATATCAGTTCTGATTTGTCATTATTGTTTCCCCTATTACTGTTATTATCATTACCTGTTTTAACACTGACAGTTTTAAAATACTGCATGAGATATATGTGTGTGAAAGAGGTATTTGGGTGTGGAGTTAAGGTAAATGAAAAATTAGGGTTGATAGTGATTGATACACTTCGCTGTTGAAGTTATACGAAAATCTATCCGAGTTAATTTGAACAGATAATATCACTGACATTAAAAGTTGTGTTGCAATTCATACTTTATTATGATAAAATTGCTTATTGAACTAATATTAGTGACAAACACCTCTGTAGGTCGTACACATTTTTTCATAATAGTAAATATTAATGTGTTTAGTTAATTTACTATTCAAATATGTCTGATTACACAAACATGAATTGCACTTATACGTATATATATATATATATATATATATATATATACTTGTTCAACTTTACCTTTGTCTAAAAGTTAGGTCATGATGGTGATCGCAACTGGAATATTGATTATAAATTTTGTGACATCATGTGATGTAGTAATTAATAATAAGCACTTTGAAATTGCTTGCCATTCCTACTAATTCTCTTCTTAGTATTTTGAAGTTCACAAAATTATGAATGATCTAAGACATTCATTTATTATAATAAATAATACTGATCGTATTATCTTTCCAGTTGATCTGTATCTATTAACAATAATGATTAATACGGTTTAGTTTGTGGTTATAACGACTTTCAATAGTGTTTTAGTGTGGATATTGTCACAGAACGATATCAGTTTGGGAATCATCTTTTAAAAATTATGAAATACTGGACAGCTATTTTTCATTCTAGTTTGAGATTTTTTAGTGGTGCGTATCAACGACTGCAAGAGTTGTCGAACTCAGGATTGTCGCACTGTGGAGTTAGCCTACTGATTACTCAACCGTTGACTTGTGAATTGTAGCTTGTGTCAGTTTACGATATAATGTCACAGGAAGACATCTGAGTAGTTGAATGTCCAGTGAACTCACCTGGTAACTTGAAGGTGCTAGGTTTAGTCCTTGTTGGAATCGTTGGTAGCCACTGTTAGACAGTTCTAAACAGCTGTTCAACACTTGATGATTGCTGAAAACAATCATTTTTGTTAAACTTAATGAAATGTATTCATCATCAAATAAAAATGCCTCTATCGTCTTCATTTATCGAGTTAAAACAAAACAAGTGCGCAACTGCAGTATGATGATGCAGTTTGAATAGATTTATAAGTTTATTGGGTACATTATATGTTAAATGGGAATATCTTGTGAGCTGCAGTTCATATAATTTAC